TTTTTTTAGTGAAAATGCAAACGAGACGCATGGAAAGAATTAACTCGATGAAAGGGAGAGGAAAACGAAGCTTGGAAGGTAATGGTGGTGATGAGGAGCCTGAACCAGAGAGAAAAAGACCTGCTTTAGCTAGGTAGCAAAGTTTGTTACTTCATGCCAGTTTATTTTCTTAATTCTGTATGCATTTTAACTATGTGGATATGTTTATTTATTGAAGAAGATGTATGGGAACTCGAGGCGAGGCTATTCTTGCTTTGGGTTGCTCGAGTTAGCCTTGCCTTGAGTTACTGCCACACTAAGCCTCTGTTGAAGAAGATATAAGGGAACTCGATGCAAGGGTATTCTTGTGTTGTTTTGCTTGAGTTACTGCCAAACTAAGTCTTTTGTGGCTTCCTTAATAATTCGAAACCTGTATGAAAGTTAATACTTAGTTGCTTACATGTAATGTGGATTTTAATTTCAAGAACGAATATTAGGCTTCGGCAGTTTTGATATGTTACATGTTGAGGCTTTGATCTGTCTCACACGTGTCATGGAGTTGTATTTGTATCTTGAGCTTCATTGAATCGTGACACTCTTGTTACTTTTTTTTCATCATCTGATTTTCTGGTTCACCTGTCTTAAATACTTGCTGTTTCTTTTATTTTGCACTAATGGGAAATAAACGAAAAGGGAGTAAATCCTTAGTACATCTATGTGTCTTATGCAGCGTTATTATAGAAGCTCTGAAGGTGGATAGTCTCCAGAAGCTTTGCTCATCATTAGAACCAATTCTTCGGAGAGTGGTAACGATGAATATCTTTTCAATATCGACATGTAATTGTGTGTTTCTTATCTTCTACTTTGATAAGACTCACTTATACAAGATTGAAGTGACTATCACTTCTCGTTTTTGTTTACCTTTTCTTTTTCCACATATCTTCTTAAAACATCTGACCAAGTGTTTTGGTAAAAGGTTATATATATTATTTAATTGGAACTTCTGATATATAATTTCAGTTACTGATTGAACTCATTGTTTTTTGGCTTTATATGACCTGTTCTTGTTTCTCCATGTATATGCACTCGTGATTTCACCTCTTTCCTTCAGAAACACAGATGCCAAAATTTGCTCATTCTCATTTTATCATCTTTCTTCATATCAATACCCCTCTTGTCTCGAGAAATTCATCATTCAATTTTTCTTCCACCTGGACAGGTTAGTGAAGAAGTTGAACGAGCTTTGTCTAAGCTGGGGCCTGCTAGGCTGAATGAAAGGTTGTGAATTTTGTTTCTGCGAAATGGCAATGCTCTATGTGACAATGTGAATTAATGTAATAAAGATTTTAAGATGATGTTTTTGTCAATTTGTCTGCCATTGCATTTGCCATAAATTTCATTTGTCAACGTTTTGCTAACTTGCACGTTTTTATTTTGTGTCCTGCCTCCACGCACAGTTCAACTCTTTCCTGCTTTATCAATATATCTTCTTATCATACAAAAACAAATGAAGAAATGATTCTCTTCAGCAAAGAAATACAAATCATGGATGATTACACCCCCAAGGTTTGAATCATTTGAAGAAAAACATAAAATTTCTTAAAGATTCATTAAAACCACCTCGAGGTTTAACCCCGTCCTAATTTTATGGAATGACCTGTAACGTTTTTATCATTTCCGTAAATGATAAGTTTCTTTTCTATATTTTTTCCTTCTTATGAACCGGAAAAAGAAGAAATCAAACCTCAAGAAACAAATTGTTTATAGTTCATTCAGTCGAGTTCTTTCATGATTTAAACAAGCATCATGCTTTATTATACCATCTTATAAAGCTATCTTCTTCGCATTGTATAAAGCTTCTATCTTTCTTCCTAAAAAGACTCTTGCAAATCTCAGGTCATCTCCCAATCGCATAGAAGGACCTAACGCTCGAAACCTGCAGCTCCACTTCAGGTCCCGCCTCTCTCTCCCGCTTTTCACTGGCGGCAAAATCGAGGGTGAGCAAGGTGCTGCCATCCACGTTGTGCTCGTTGATTCCGGCACGGGCCATGTTGTGACATTTGGGCCCGAATCCTGTGCCAAGCTGGACGTTGTTGTGCTGGAAGGCGATTTCAGCAATGAGGATGGTGAAGCGTGGGCTCAGGAAGTGTTTGAGAGCCACGTCGTGAAAGAACGCGAGGGGAAAAGGCCTCTGTTGACTGGTGATTTGCAGGTCAACCTGAAGGAAGGTGTTGGGACACTTGGCGATCTCACGTTCACGGATAACTCAAGTTGGATAAGGAGCCGTAAGTTCAGGCTTGGCTTGAAGGTTGCTTCCGGGTATTGCGAGGGCTTACGTGTTCGGGAGGCAAAGACTGAAGCTTTTCCAGTCAAGGATCATCGAGGGGAATGTATGTTGTTTCTGTTGGTTTTTTGACAATTACGTTTTCTTTTTTAGATTAAGTTTAGAGAAAAAAAAAAACCTTCATCTACCTTTTAATGTCACTATAGTTTAATCTTTCCATGTTGGGAATATACTGGGTATGTTGTTGTTGTTGTATAGTTTAATCTTTCCATGTTTTTTTACTCAAACATCTTTTGCCATGCATAATATTTCTTTTTACTTTCTTTCCACTCCTAACAGTATATAAAAAACATTATCCACCCGCCTTGAATGATGACGTTTGGAGATTGGAGAAAATCGGCAAGGATGGGTCATTCCACAGGAGGCTTAACAATGCAGGAATATTTACTGTCGAGGATTTCCTTCGGCTAGTGGTGATGGACTCTCAGAAGTTGAGGAATGTAAGTATTTACTGGTTTTAATTCATTTCGCTTTTTATTTTATTTTATCTAATTTTTTTTCTTTGCAGATACTCGGGAGTGGTATGTCTAACAAGATGTGGGATGCCCTGATTGAACACGCCAAAACGTGTGTTTTGAGTGGGAAGCTTTATATATACTACACTGATGACTCTAGAAGCGCTGGTGTCGTTTTTAACAATATATACGAGCTGAGTGGCCTCATAGCAAATGAGCAATATTATCCCGACAACTCGCTTTCTGACAGCCAAAAGGTTTGCCAGTTTTTCTTTACGAATATGAAAGCCAGAAGGCGCTGAAAATGAAATATGCTCTTCTAAATCGTGTGAGCCTGTGTAGGTATATGTGGATACACTGGTGAAAAAAGCATACGACAATTGGAATCAAGTCGTTGAGTACGATGGCCAATCTCTGTTGAATTTCAAGCAAAATAGGAAGTCGAGCACTTCGCGAGATGATCCTCTTGTGAGCTCCTCCGTTACGAACACCTTCGATAACCAGCTTCTACCCGAGAGATTGCCGGTTCCAATGCCCTCTGACTCGTCTTTGGATCATAGTGTGCCGACAGGAGGTGAGTTTCGTCTCGAAAAGCTCGTTTTCTTTTGCTCTTTAGTATTACGAGTGTGTTTTGGTAAGCATTATAAGCTAGCTTGTAAATTTCTTGTTTTCAGATTAGTTTGGTTTGATAGAAGATCTCATTTCATAAGCTTCCTTATGTAGGTTTTCAAAAGAACCCGTTGAAATTTTTTACTTCAAGTAACTTGTCAGCTAATTATACCTTTTTCTGCCATCAGCCATAAGGTATAAGGTATCAGCTATAAAGCTCGAAATCAACATATGAGCTGTCAACTAATTTATAAACTATCAGCTAAGATTTATCAAACATAGCATACACATTATTGTTTTTCGGGTTTCAGGATATAACGACTACATGGCCACGAGATATTTTGAGCCCTCACCATTCACCCAAGCCGACCAATTCCAGCTCGAGCCGTACGACAGTCGGGTGGGCCTCGCCCTCGGGCCCCCTCAATCGTCTCCCTCTTTTCAAGAGGGAACCTCCTCCTCTCTCGGGCTGGCCCACAACAGTCTCAACCCTTACGGGCCTTGGCCCGTTAGTGGCCCGGGACCCGAATTCATGTCCGAGGAGGAAATCCGCATGAGGAGCCACGAGATGCTGGAGAACGAGGACATGCAGCACCTGCTCCGCCTCTTCAGCATGGGGGGTGGAGGCCCGTCCGAGGACGGGTTCGGGTTCTCCTCGTCTTACGCAGCGTCCCCCTTGCCTGGGTTTGGGCTCGGGAACCGGGCCCGCCCGGGAAGGGCGGTTGCCGGGTGGCTGAAGATCAAGGCAGCCATGAGGTGGGGAATATTTATCAGGAAAAAGGCAGCCGAGAGGCGGGCCCAGATCGTGGAGTTGGACGACGAGTGAGGGGTATTTCGGGTAATCTGTAGCTGCAGAAATTCATTGGAAAAATTTGATACTTTTGTTATCTGGAATTTTGAAGAAGACTTAGGTCTATGATACTGTAATAGGAGGGAAGTGAACGATTTTTATGCATTGTTATCTTCCTGTACAGTATATGTGTTGGCTTTACATACCATTTTGGGACAATTGTAACTTACTGGAACATATGATATGCTAATATAGATCTTCCAATTGTCTGCATATTGGGGTTTGATGCAACTCACGTTGTCTTTTTATTATTTTATTATTATTAACTTCATTCATTATACTTTATTTTTATTTTTATTTTTATTTTTCAATAAAAATTCCAGCTGTTAAGTTATGCCTCACAAGCTGCTCCCAAATTAACCTGCTGGCCCTTACATTCTCTAGTCTCTTCAGCCATTTTTGTCTTCAAAGGTCATCTTTTCCTATTCAAATTCTTTAATTTCAAATCAATTCTAATAATTAAACTTCCAGAAACATATCATCTATATTTCACTTCGTTGGATGAATGACACGTGTACGATGTCATATTCATACACATATAAATCACCAACAGAATGAAATCATTTCGTTGGATGAATGACACGTGTACATGATGATGTCATATTCATACACATATAAATCACCAACAGGATGAAATCACTTTGTTGGATGAATGACGCGTGTACATGATAATGTCATATTCGTACACATATCAATCACCAACATAATGAAATAAATTCGTTGGATGAATGACACGTGTACATGATGATGTCATATCCGTACACATATCATTCACCAACAAAAGTTAATGGAATGCAAAATTATTCAAGGACTAGGTATATTTTTCTTTTAATTAAGCCCATTTGTCTAATCATTAGACATTGACATTTAAAAAATTTAAAACGAAACTTACATTATATATAAAAATGTTATACATTTATCTATATTATTTTTTAAAATGTGACATTTTTATATATTATCTAGCATACTATACGTGATATAGAGAATTCATGTACCATTTGACTGAACCTAAAATAATAATAATAATAATAATAATAATAATAATAATAATAATAATAATAATAATAATAATAATAATAATAATTGATTGGGTTTTGATACTAAATTTCAATGGCTTTGTTTACTTTACTATTGTGAAACTCAAGCTGATCCCATCTAGCCTTTTTATTATCAGGGGCGGATCCAGAAAAAAAGTTTAGGAGGGGCAAAAGAAGTTAATTGGAATCAATTTGTTTTGTTCAACTTGTAATAATTTGATCTCATATCATTCATATATTTAAATGAGCCTAGTAGAACGACTATTCAAACTTCTTTACTAAATAAATCGACTAGATTGAAGCTTAAACATGAGGTATTCGACATGACTCGGCACAAATAACATTTCGAGGGTAATTATATAATTTATAGTATATCTCTCACACACAAACATATCTGTAGTAAAATTGCATTTTAAAATGGATAAAATAATTAATAAATTGCACTATGCATTTTAGAATGAATAAAATCATTATTAAGTTGCACTACAAAATACATAACTTCTTAATTTTGACAGTTTAAATGTTCAACATTCTTTACACTCACAGAACTCATTGATTATTGACTTGATATTAACAAAAATGCTATAATAGGTAGGCTATCTAATTGTTAGACAAATATATTTTCTTACTCTGCTCTAAAATATATATATATATATATATATATATATATATATATTCTTACTAAAAATGCATTGTAATAATATGAAAAATGTCTTACTTTTATTTGTCTGGAAAATATGACATTAAAGTATAAAAGTATAAATATATTTGTTGAAATAGTGTAGTTGACTAACTATTAAATAACCAAGAGAATGTCTACTCCCGTATTAATATTCTAACATTCTATTTTAAACTATTGAATTTCATATGTTGAATGTTTTTCTATTTCAATTTTCTTATTTAATTGTACTTAAGATCAAATACAAAATATTATACAACATCGTTGAAAGGTTACCTACAGAATATGATGAAATTAAAACTAATGAGTAAATAAACCGATACAATTATTTGTAACAATTATGAAAATGAGTATAAATTGAATATGTTATAAATTTTTAATCTATAATATTATATATATATATATATATATATATATATATATTAAAAGAATTAAAAGCCTTTAGAATATATACATATATATTAACCAAAAGTTTAGGGGGGACAATGGCCCTCCCTTAAGCTAACTTAGATCCGTCCCTGTTTATTATACTTAATAATTAATTGCCATCACAGTGTCACAACCTTGACTTCAAGTATCGGATTAGGACGGTATTAATGACTTTATTTGAGTCTATAGACGAGTCACATGGTTGGATATAAGTTTCTTTGTATTTGATTTGATTTATTGAATAAAGTGGTTTTTTTTTAAAAAAAAAAATAGTTTTGTTTTACTTGGATTTTAATTTTTTTATTAATAATATTTAATACAATAATTAAATTAGTTGATGTGATGTAAAAGTAAGAGAAAACTGATTGTAAATTATGTGAGTTGATGAACCGTAAATTAAAATTATGTAATTATATCAGGATAATTAATTGATATTATTTAGTTGGTGGGGTATCGGATTTTCCTCGAATGTTACATGGACATGGAGTACCAATTTTTTTTTTTTTTTTCGAAATGATAGGATTTATATATAACGAAAAGGAAATGTACAGTATCAGGGCATAAAGCCCAATGTCATGCCTAAGAAGACAATGAGGAACACAACAAGTGCCCTAAAAATAACCAAAAGAACTAGAAGGTTTCCTTCGAGTGACTAATGATGAATCATAGAAATCACTGAAGGATTCTTTCTAGCTAGCAGCAAAATGGTCTAAACCACTGATCAAGGATCCCAGCTTAGAACTAACTACAAAAGCAAGAAAAATAACTACACAACACACTACTCCTAACAGAAACCAAACACAACAGAACAAAAGATCATGAATCAAGCTCTTGCCAGCTTGTTGAACTCCAACCATTCTTCCAAGGCAATCGTCACTACTGCCATTTCAGACCTCCAAGTACTCTGGAATACCCATAAGTTCCTTGCTTTCCAAATCCACCAAAGCAGATAAGCTATGAACTGTAGTCTAGCATCATTGTCTGCAGATGAAGGTATAGAGCATAGCTTAGACCACCAGTGAGGAAAGTTGTCTACAAGTTCAATTCCATCCCATTTTATTGGAGCCAACTCCCAGATCCTCTTAGTTTTGGTGCAAGTGAAAAACAGGTGAATGATAGTTTCAGAGGCCTCTCCACAAACACAACACCTATCTTCAATGTCTACTCCTTTCTTAGAGAGATTGAAACCTGTAGGAAGAATGTTGTTCAAGCATCTCCATAGGAAGTGCTTGATTTTCCCTTTAATTTGTATCTTCCATAATCTTCTCCTGGTTTGCTTCCTCTCATCCTGCCCTTTGCTAGGTTCTGCCATGTCAAGGAGTTTTCATTTTTCACAAATCAGATAATCATAGGATGAAGCAACTGAATGCTTTCCATTATTCCCACATTGCCATATTAGTCTGTCTGCCTCATGAGGGTTGAGATATTTTATCTTCAGGATGGCTGATCTTTCTTCTTCAGTGAAAAAATTCTGAAGCAGCTCCAGGTTCCAGTTCCTGCCCGTTTCATCTAAGAGGTCATGCACTTTAGTAAGCTCAAGAGGAAGATTTGGATGTCTTGAGGGTTTGAACCCTGGAAAGTCTGGGATCCATGGATGCTCAAAGATGTCAATACTGCTTCCGCTCTTTGCTTCATATCTGAAACTCAGAGAGATTGAATCTCTGACCTTGAGCCAGCTATGCCAGATCCATGGAGTACCAATTTTTCAATTGGTAAAATGTGACTTTTTTTTCACTAATTAGGATTATCAAGAAATTAAAGGCATACAATTAGGGATTATGTTAAACTCTAGGGACCAGAGTTTAGGGGTAATTAATTACAAGGAACCCTTAAATGAGGAGATAAGACAAATATGCCAATTATTACTTTGTAATGAAAACAGAAGTTATATGGATAACCCGCAAACTAAAAAAAAAATATAT